AAGCAGACAGACATACTGAGTGCACTCAAACCTCCCAATCATTAACTGGAAATGTAAACAACCTTTACATCACAAAAGAGGTTTAAACTCTACACTACTTTCAGAATTGCTAATTCCCACCCCGTAAAGTCTCTTAGAATCTGGTCTTAAAACTACCCACCAAGTGTACCTAAAAAAATACTATGTATACTGATTGGAATGTGATGCCAATTAACACACTTTGTAATTTGCCCAAGAACTTCAACACCCTGAGCCAAAACCAATAACAAAGAAACAACACGCACTTGACATTTTCCTTGGTTAAACTAAGATTCTAGAAGTAATTTTAGAAGAAAGGCAAACAGATCTGAAGTTAACTACTAAAATCATCGACAGCTGCACAATTCTGGGAAAAAAAAGGAGTAACAGAATGATTCAAATATTGTGAAATTAGATGAAATCTTTAATATGTAATGAAGCTTACTTTTTACTCACAACTAAGGCAAGGATAGAATCCTCAGCCACGGCTCTCATGATTACAGATGGGTAAGACAGTTTAACTCTACATCAGAAGCACTGACTGAATTGGGACCCAAATACCTAGCTTTACACTTTGAACCCAGTCAGAAGAGCAAGCAGGGGACTCATCCACACACTCTAAAACATAAAACGTAAAGCCTAAGCAATTAATCTAGTGCTCTCTGATTTTCCAATTTACTCAAGATAAGCCATCCCCTCCCCCCAAGTAATTTATTTATTTTTTTTTTTAGATTTATTTTTATTATTTTTTCAAAGGCAGATATACAGAGAGGAGAGACAGAGAGGAAGATCTTCCGTCCGATGATTCACTCCCCAAGTGAGCGCAACGGGCCGATACTATGCCGATCCGAAGCCAGGAGCCTCTTCTGGGTCTCCCACGTGGGTGCAGGGTCCCAAAGCTTTGGGCCGTCCTCGACTGCTTTCCCAGGCCACAGGCAGGGAGCTGGAAGGGAAGCGGGGCTGCCGGGATTAGAACCGGCGCCCATATGGGATCCCGGGCGTGCAAGGTGAGGACCTTAACCACTTGTGCCACCGCGCCGGGCCCAAAGTAATTTATTTTTGAAGAATAACACGTACGGTCTACACAACTTTAAAAAAAAAAAAAAAAACTTTTCAAGTGAAAGCTGGATTTGTGGTTCCATTAACCCCCTCACTGTCATGGTAGTCCACCATCTTTCAAAAACAGTCTTAAAAATTCTCCTCTGCCAAGTCAATATTCAGGCACGCTCTTCGCTTACCAAGTTCTCAACATCAGGAATACCACGCACAGCCTATTCTCCTAACACGCAAACAGAAGTACTCCATTTGTAATATTTTCTATTTGGGGGCAGGAAGCTAATGAAGTTTTATCTGAAACTTAAAAGTAACATAATCATACACTTGCTACTCATAAACTACTTGAAATACGAATTTGAAGTTACTAATTTTATTTTCCACTTCATAATCTAATAATTCTGAATAAGCCAAATTTAACTTAAGAAATATAGTTGTTATTTAATCCTTGAAACACAAAAAGGGATATATTCTAACTCAAAGCAACTAATTCCAGAGGTGCTATGTTATTTAACTATTTTAAGATTTTTATTTATTTTTATTGGAAAGGCAGATGTACAGAGAGGAGGAGAGACAGAGAGGAAGATCTTCTGTCCATTAATTCATTACCCAAATGGTCGCAACGGCCACTGCTGTGCCAGTGCTGTGCCGATCTAAAGCTGGGATCCAGGAACTTCTTCCAGGTCTCCCACATGGGTGCTGGGTCCCAAGGCTTTGGGCCGTCCTCCTCTGCTTTCCCAGGCCACAAGCAGGGAGCTGGATGGGAAGTGGAGCTGCTGGGATTAGAACTGGCGCCCATATGGGATTCCGGTGCAATCAAGGCAAGGACCTTAAGCGCTACCTTGCCAGGCCCTTAACTATTCTTTATATCATCTTTTAGATACTTGCTGCCATAAATGACCAGTTTAATTTGCTTCTGTTAAACACCACAAAATATATTCAATTTACTTGGGCCCTGCCTTGTTTGAGGCACACACTTTCTTCAACTACTGATAAGACTGCACAAAACTAAACAAAACTAAACAATTCCACTACAACTACAATCACAAGCATGACATAGCTAAAAGGTAAGTTTATAGAACAGAAACAGTAGCAGGTTTACTTTCCAGCTACCCAGCATCCAATTGGTCAAGTGTTTCTGTTACATTTTCAACAGCCTCTCCCTTGAAGGGATAAAGAGTGAGCACAAGCCAAGAGAATCTCAGCCCTTCACTGGTATATAATCTACACAACCCTAGACCTAGGAGCACCTATCTAAAGTCAGTTAATAACGTCTCTAACAGAAGGATTATTCCAAACAATGCAGCTATTTTAGGAAACCTAGGTTCTCAGTACTAAGGGACAACAAAATTGCAATCTGGGAAAATCAACCTAGAAGTAGTTTGCTACCTAAGATAAAATGCATCAACCAGGGCTTGGTGGGGTGGCCGAGCAGCCCAAAGCCTTGGGACCCTACATCCCTTGTGGAAGACCTGGAAGAAGCTCCAGGCTCCTGGTTTTGGATTGACTCAGCTCCAGCCACTGTGGCCATTAGAGGAGTGAATCGAAGGACAAAGGACGGAAGATCTTCCTGTCTCTCCTCTCTGTATATCTGACTTTCCAATAAAAACAAAATAAATCTTTAAAAAAAAAAGATACATCAGCCAAACTAAAACAATTAATTACTTTCTAGACCTATTCAGCTGGGGATTTTTTAGATTTACTATTATTAGCATTATTTGGGGAAGGGGGAGGCAGATCTACAGAGAGGAAGATCTTCCATCTGCTGGTTTACTCCCTAAGTGGCCGCAACGGTAAGAGCTACGACAATCCGAAGCCAGGAGCCAGGAGCCTCTTCCAGGTCTCCCACACAGGTGCAGGGTCCCGAGGCTTAGGGCCATCTTCTACTGCTTTCCCAGGCCACAAGCAAGGAGCTGGATGGGAAGTGGGGCTGCCGGGATTAGAACTGTCGCCCAAATGGGACCATGGCACATGCATGGCAAGGATTTAGCCTCTAGACTATCCCACTGGACCCTCAGATGCTTCTTTTAATCTGACAATTTCTATCTAAGAAACATGATGTATATAGGGACAACATTTAAAATTTAGAATGGGGCTCCGGCGGCATGGCCTAGCAGCTAAAGTCCTCACCTTGAATACGCCCCTGGGATCCCATATGGATGCCGGTTCTAATCCCAGCAGCTCTACTTCCCATCCAGCTCCCTGCTTGTCGCCTGGGAAAGCAGTCGGGGGTGGCCCTAAGCTTCGGGACCCAGCACCCATGTGGGAGACCTGGAAGAAGTTCCTGGCTCCCGGCTTCAGATCGGCATAGCATCAGCCGTTGCACTTACTTGGGGAGTGAATCATGGGATGTAAGATCTTCCTCTCTGTCTCTCCTCCTCTCTGTATATCTGACTTAATAAATAAATAAAATAATAATAAAAAAAATTTGGAATGACTAGAAGGTACCAAAGTTATGAAGTCAACATTTTGTAAGTATAACTTTAGGACAGTCTTTTGCAGGAAGCTCTTAGGAAGATCAACTCAGTTTATTCACCACTGTATAAATGCAGAACACCTGATATCAAACGCTAATCAAAAACGCTTTTTAAAGGGTTTAACAAAGCCAATCTTTTCAATTACTATCAGCTTCAACTTCATGGGGGGGAGGGTGATAGAAGAGTAATCAGCAAGAACAATCAGCCAAGTATTTGATACAGTGCAAATTAAACCAACTGTAATGCACCCCTCTCCACAACGACAAGACAAAGTCCCTTCGCACAATCTTGCATCTTTTCTTTAATTATTTCCACCACGCAGTCCGGACTGTCAACTGTTCCCCAAACTCATCCCAAATCCCGTAGGCCTCCAGGCCTTGACTGTCACCCAACCGAAGGCCTCACCGCCCCCTCACCAAAGCCCTTCAAAACGCACCAGTCCCCCGCCAGCGCACCAGCTTCTTCAAATGCCCCAAGCAAAGCGAGCTGCTCTGAATTCCCAGCACCCTCACCAGCCAGTCCTCAAGGCACCGCACTGTCGTCACGCCTGGGCACCCTCTCTGCTCCGGCCAGAAGCACTCGCTGGCTGGACGCACTGTCCACTCCCGTCAAGAGATCCCTAGGACTCGGGTCCCATCTCAAGGAGACCCTTACATTCTTTCCAGCAGAGGACGGAGCCCAGCGGCACACCCGGGGCCCCGCAGAGAACAGTGAATGAACACAAACCTCCCGGGGTCTCTCGAGACGGCCCAACTTGGGTCTGGGCTCCGACAAGGCACTGGCGATGCACCGACCCGGCTGCCCCTCACTTTCCCACCAAAGACAACCCTCGCCTGCCAAGCGCCCCGAGGCCAAGGCTCGGGATAAGCATCCCAAACCTCTCATTAGTCACCCACAGACACCTGAAACCCCAGGCGAAGCCCCTGTATCCTTGTGGCGGGGCACCGACCCATCTGCTCGGTTCTTCCCCGATTCCACTTCGCCCAACCTAAAAGGGTGTCACTTGACTGACGGGGCCCTGGAAGATGGAGCAAGCCCGTCCCGCCCCCACCCCGCAGTCCGCGCGACCAAAGAAAAGGAATTAGCCGGTCTGACTGACCACACACACACACACACACACACACACACACACACACACACACACACACAGCGGGCAGCTCTGGGCAGATTTTTCTCCCAGTGCCAAAAAATGAGGAATGCGCACTGGGCAGAAGGCTGGCGCTGGCATGTTTCCGAGAAACACAAGGAAATCTGCAATGGGGACGTGGGAACCGGGCTCGCCGGCGATGACACCGGGCACGGGGCCCGGCGAGCGCCACCCGGGGTGACAGCGGCCTGCCCGGCCTCCGCTCGCCAGCCCCGGGGCCGTTCCGAGCGTCCAGCGCCGCCCGGACCGGGTCGGCTGGGAAGCCGAGCCGACCCCTGCCCCGGCGTCCCGGCCCCGCAGCCTACCTGAGGGAGCCGAGCCGCCCCCGCGTCCGTCCCGTCGTCCGGCTGCGGCTTCTCGTCCGCTCCTCCTCCCTGCGGCGGGTGAAGGAACGGGAGGCAGTCACATTCGGCGCGTCCCCAAGCCAGGGGACGGGGCCCCGGGAAGCCCTCGCATCCTCGCACTCGGGCTCCGCGCCTCAGGGCACACGCCCTAAAGCCCGGCCAGCTGTCCCTTCTCGGGACCCCAGGAGAGCAGCACAGAAAGCGTTCCCGCCTCACGTTCGCTCTCCTCTTACTCCCGCCATCTAAGATGGCGGCTCCAGAGCCCGCGATGAAGAGACTCTCGGGCGGCCCGGGCGAGCGAGCCCTCCGCTCGGTGCTCCTCCTCCCGACCTGCGGCTCCCCACTTGTGCGCCGGCCCTCCCGGAGGACCGTGGATTTCAAGTTCGGCTCAGGGATCTATCGCTCAGGTCTGAGCTGCGGCCCCGCCTCCCGAGGCGTGGCCTCTCCCGGGCCAGTGGCCGCCATTTCGGAGCCGAGGCTGTCTTGAGGCGGTGTGATCGAGGAGCTGGGGGTCGGAGGGGCGGCTTCCTCCGTCTTCTGTGGCTCGGGAGATACCTGGCGGTGCCGGAGGACACAGAACAGTTTCCAACTTGGGCGCGTCCAGTCCGAACCACACACTAGAGCAATCGAGTCCCGAAGCTACCACTAAATGAGAAAAGCCCCAAAGACTTGGAGGCCGCATTTGTTTCACCTGTTAACTCTGGGGCAGGTGATCGAAAACTCTTGATCATCTCCAGTCGGCCCCAGGCAGAGGGAAAGCTTTTTATGTGCGGGGTAATCGCTGAAAGGTGCCCGTACGCAACCCGTTCCTACCTTTTTGCATCAAAAATGGTCTTTTACTGAGCAGGTCCCGTGATGAGCTTTTTGGAAGTGACCTAGGGGTATCGAATGACAAGTAGAAACGTTGTCCTGGGCACTGGAATCAGCCATAAGAATTTCTCCCTCCGAGGGGTGAGAGCCAGAAAACGAAGAAATTCAGAAAATCCGCGTCGCAATGTCCCTACCCAGATCTTAGTGACCAGACGCTGTGGGCTGATGTCTCCAAACATCAGAAGGCTCCTGATGTGGAGCAGCCTCCAGGGCAATTGTTTGTTTTGTTTTTGGGATAACTAGATGTAACTAACACCTACCTGCCTTACAGGATTGAATGGTGTTTAAAAAAAAAAAAAAAAACAGAGACCTCTGAGTACAAAGCCTGGGATTTAGAGATTTGGAGCCTGACTGGCTTTGGGTTTAGACTTTGGCACTTTGTTATCTGTGACTTGGACAAGTCATCTAAACTCCATTCCCTAGTCTGCAAGGGGATCCCCACCTGCTGGAGTTGCAAGCGGGAAGGAGAAGCTGTGTTCACAGAGGCATCTATCTGTTTACTGGAGGCCAAGGGAAGCCTCACTGGCCCACCCCCAGGCCATTCCTCCTCCTTTCAGCTTCTCCCCCCTCTCCCAGCAAACTTAGGCTTGTTCCTCCTTCACACTGCAGCTGAGCTATACGAAGGGCTACTTCGTTACAGTTTGATGAGGTGAAATTCACAAAATGAACCTCTTGATTCAAAACATTCTTTAACCCAGTCTTTCAAATAAGTTTTTCTTTTCAAATTGCTTTAAAGAATGGACACACCAAGCATTGTTACATCAAATAGGAGGGAAAGAATGATGGACATGAAGGAAGGCTAACACGGAGAGCCCCCTGGCTGTTGGGGTGTTCCACTTCCTAAAGTAGGATGTGCTTGGATGAGTATATAGAAAAGGTGTGTGTTTACATCTCCACACATTTGCTACACCAGTGGAAAAAGTGTCAAAAGATGGACAGTAAAGGCTTTTTCTTTTTAAAAGAGTATTTGTTTGAAAGAGTTACAGGGAGGCAGAGAGAGAGAGATCTTCTACTGCTGATGCACTCCCCAAATGGCTCCAATGGCCAGGACTGGGCCAGGCAGGAGCCAGGAGCTCCCGCTGCTTCTCCCGTGAGTGCAGGGGCTTAAGCACTTGCACCATCTGCTGCTGCTTCCCCAGGTGCATTACAGAATTGGATCAGAAGTAGAGCAGCCAGGATTCAAACCAGCACACCCATTTGGGATACCAGCTTGCAGAATGCTGAAAACACTGCCCTTTAGTTAGAACTTTAAACCTGGTAGAAAAAAAGTGCATTTTCCAAATGACGGAAAACTCAACAATAGCCATGAAGTAGCTGTTTGCCATAGTACCAGCACTGTAGTTCAGAAGGTTCAGCCACTACCTGGAAAACCAGCATAATGTGATGCTCTATTTCTGATCCATCTCCCTGCTAGTGTACCTGGGAAAACAGTAGAAGTTGATGGGAGTGCTTTGTCCCCTAATACCCATGTGGAAGACATAACAAGTGTTGGAGGCTCCAGCTTGGACCTGCTACAGCTCTGGCTGCGGTATCCATTCAGGTAGTGCACCAACAGACAGAAAGCTTTCTCTCTCTCTCTCTCTCTCTCTCTCTCTCTCTCTCTCTTTCTCTTTCTGCCTTTCAAAAAAACAAATCCTTTAAAAAGGAAAGAAGGGGGCCCAGTGTGGTAGGCTCGCGGCTACAGTCCTCGCCTTGCATGCACCAGGATCCCATATGGGTGCCAGTTCTAATCCCGGCAGCCCCACTTCCCATCCAGCTTTCTGCTTGTGGCCTGGTAAGGCAATCGAGGACAGCCCAAAGCCATGTAAACAGTTCCACAACCAAGTGATACACTCGCACTCCCGTGGCTCTCCTGGCCAGCAAGGGCAGACACCCAGCCGCAGGAGGGAGGGAAGGAATAGCCAGCCTTGCCACGGTGGGGCAGGAAAGCTGAGTCTTAGAGGAGGAGTCAGAATTTTCCAGATTGAGAAGGTAGGAGTGCAGGGCAGAGAGAAGAAAGGATGGGCCCAGGCACAGAGGTGTGACTAGTGTGATGGTTGACCTGGCTAAGGCAGACAGCAAACAGAATGCTGGAGGAGCAGAAGGTACCTGGCCTGGGATCAGTCCCCCACCGGGAGTAGATGGGAGAGTGAGGCTCCAAGTTGGAGAGTTGGGGTGACCACTACAACGTGCAGGGTGTCACCTGGAGTCACCTGGAATGGCAGCGATAAAGGAAGACGTGTGTTCTTCCGTAAGTTCCTCAGGAGTGTAGAAATTGGAAGGATCTCTGTGGAAATTAGTTGGGCAATGTCCAGATTCTCAGTAGGATCCAGCCCTTCCTCCAGGCCTGGACCCTTAGGTAGTCAATCTGTGAAGTGCGGCACACACAGCTGGTGCCTTACCACCTTGCCTGCAACCTCAATGAATATCATACAGCTGGAAGAAAGAAAGATGAACTCCCTGGGCTTGGCTGGGGGAAGATGGCCAAGAAATATTGTTGAATTAAAAAAACACTGGCTTATAAAGGCTTAAATCTTATTGGGAAGACATTCTGAGCGCACCCAGTGACCACAGGCCATGGCACACAGGGCTCAGGAGAAGGGGAAATAGGCTCCTGCCTGGCTTTTCTATTTTTAAAGGTTTGAGCCATGTGAGTGTGTTACCCAGTCATGGGGAAAAAAAAAAAAAGGCTGAAATTCAGAACCAATGGTGTCACCAAGCCAGAGAGCAGGGTAAGCAACCTGACTGCCAGCACCTTCTTAGTGGCTCGCATCCCCCCAGTTGCTCACAGATCCACTGCCACCCTCCCGGGGACTCCCCAGGACAGACTCTGTAACAGCCCACCCCTTGCCACCTGGCCATCTCTTAGCAGGATCTGAGCTACTTTCTCTGCAACTTTCAACGCTTCCTGCTACTCTAGCCGACATCCTGCCTGGCCCAGCCTCCCTGCTCTCATTCCCCTCAGCTACTGCATGCTTGACAGGGGCTGAGTGGGACTGGGGAAAGCCACCCTGGCCCAGGCATGGCAGTCCCTCTGGGACCACATCCACCAGGACAGTGGGAAGGGGAGGGGACTTCCTTCTCCTACACATGACAGCTAGCAGGAGGGGGAGCCATGAGCCATGGGCACATGCAGGCTAGCCCTGCACCAGAGGAAGCATAACATTAAATAGCAAATATAAAACCCCGAGACAGGACAAGCAATACAGTGGGAGAAAGCAAACAGTTCTACATTTAGAAAGTTAATGACAATTTTCTCCCCTTACGTTTTGGACAGGGTCCTGTGTTGACATTTTGCACTAAGCCTTACAAATTTCAGCTGACCCTAAGCAAAGGCCAGCAGGGTCACAGAGCCCTTAAAACTTGCCAATCTGCCCAAACAAGGTTATAGAGATACACTGCCCAGAATAAAACGAGCAACCACTCATCATACTATTTTAACTTGGAGCCTTGTCACCAAACCACGCTGTCTGTGGTCAGCTTCTGTTCCAATTGTCCATGATTGTGCAACAGTCACTCTGCTGGGGCTCAGAGCCAACACATCACTTGGCCCATTCTGCTTGGTGACCTCAGGACATGGGTGCTATGTGAGGGCTCAGACTCCCAGTGAACAATGTGGATGATAATTATTAAAAAAAAAAAAAAAAAAAAAAAAACTTTAGAGACTGGTATGATAGTTCAATTGGCTAATCCGCCATGTGCTACAAACACTGGAACCCCATATGGATGCTGGTTCATGTCCCAGCTGTTCCTCTTCCCATCCAACTGCCTGCTTAGGGACTGGGAAAGCAGCAGAGAATGGCCCAGACCCTTGGGATGCCTGGATAAGGCTCCTGGCTTCAAATTGGGCAGTTGTGCTCATTTGGGGAGTGCGTCAGCACATGGAAGATATTTCTGTCTCTCCTTTTCTCTGCAAATCTGCCTTTAATTAAAAAAATTACATCTTTAAAAAGGTTTTTTTTTTTTTTCCTTTGAGATTCATAAAGACAGAGCAAGAAAGAGCTTGTGTCTGCTGGTCCACTTTCCCAAATGTCCACAGTTGTCAAGACTGGGCTGAATCAGGCCAGAGCCAAGAGCCAAGAACTCATTCCGCATCTCTCACATGGGAAGAGCTGCCACTGAGCTGTCACCACTGCCTCCCAGCATCTGCGTTAGCCCGGAGGTGGAATCGGGAACCAAGGCAGTCGGATGTGAAATGCACAAATCTTACCTGGTATCCTAATTGGAGGCCAAAAGCCAGCCCCGGCAGGCTCATTCTCCTAAGCACTTAGGATCACAAGTGCTAGACTCAGGTGAAGCAACTGTCAGCCCGTGAGTCAAGAAGAAGGGGTGCACCTCAGGGTGGTGGGGTGGTAAGGGACAGGAGGGATCATGGCAGCCATCTTTGAGATGTGCAAACACATACACCTCTGATATATTTTAAA